TTTTGATAGTTGATCCAAGAAGAATGAAGTCCTTGACAACTTCAGTCTTTTCTCCGTTGATAAGAATGTTGTTTATTGGTCCAGCGGTGAGGATTTTAGTTTTCTTAACATTGAGATACAATCAATACCGAAGGCTGTGCTCTTTGATCTTCATCAGTAAATGTTTCAAGGGAAGAATAGAGGAAAGAAAAAATATGGGACTATCTTAGGTGGTGCCTTTACATCGACTTCTTAGATGGCTTCACAAGAATGAATATTCACACTAAAAACACAACATTATTGCTGTAACCAAATGATATATTTCCTCCACCTGTGGGCTCAAGGTAACAATCCCCCTAGTCTCTCTGCCCAGTTCAGTAGAGACAAAGGAAAGTCCATGGTGAGATGGTGCCACCATGCAGGCACCTTGGCAACGGTACCTGAAAGGGCAGGCTCAGCTGTGCCCTCCCTTCCTCCAGGTGGTTCCAGGCCTCTCCAGGACACCACTCCAACAGCGGAGTCAGAACTGCTGGAACACTTAAAGCCCAGATTGAAAGGGGAGGGGAAAATGACACCCAACCTCTCAGTGAGAAACACTGAAGACTCTGCAGCCATCTTTCATTCGCCTGACCCATTGTGGAGCACATCGCCGCTCTAGCATCTAAGACTTAGATTGTTGTTGTTATGTGCAGTAGAGTCAGTTCTGACTCATAGTGCCACTGATGAGGTTTCCGAGGAGCAGCTGGTAGGTTTGAACTGCTGACCCTGTGGTTTACAGTTCAGTGCTGATTCTACAGTGCCACATCAATAAGACATAGATGTTGTTGTTGATATTGTTGTTGTTGTTAGACACTGTCAAGTTGGCACCTACTCATAGTGACCTTATGCACAGCAGAATGAAACACTGCCCAGTGCGGCACCAATCTCATAGTCATTGCTATGCTTGAGTCTATTCTTGCTACCAATATGTCGATCCATCTTGTTAGGGGTCTCCCTCATTTTCACTGATGCCCTTCTCCAGGATCTGGTTCCTCCTGATAATATTCTGAAGTATGAGAGATGAAGTCTGGCTATCCTGGCTTCTAAGGAGCAATCTGTCTGTACTTCTTTTTCTGGCAGCCCATGGTACTTTTAATATTCTCCTCCAGTACCATAATTCAAATGCATCAATTCTTCTACAGTCTTCCTTATTCACTATCCAACTTTCACATGCATATGAGGTGGTTGAGGTTTAATTTCCAGGGGAGTGTATTCAACCTGAAGGTTACAGAAAGTCCTGTTGCAGGTGGGTACAATAAATTTGTCTTGACCCCTAAAACAATAGAGCAAGAGAAAATTGCAAGCTGTGTATACCCCTCTGAGAAGCAGCCTGGGAATTTCTCCCTCATTCATTTTCACAAAAAAATTCAGCAAGCCATTTGTCTGAAAGCCTGAACACTTCCACTGAGCATTTTATTACTTCAGGCATGCCTGTCCCATACCTATCCCCAGGGGACCCCAGGCCCTAACTGAATTGGTCAGCTAGGAACGATCTGCAGTAGGCGACTACAGGAGACTTTTCAACAGTTCAGTATTTAGGTGGTCTGGACAATGCACCCATTATAAATGCTGCTTTCAAGAGCAGTGGTTCAGATGACAGCTTCAAAAAGGATTTGCAAAGAGTTCTTTGGAAGTGGAACATGGGCAACTCAGAGCCGTGACGTGTTACAAGGACAAACTTAGCTGAACAAAGATCTAAGGCAGCACTAAATGACTTATTTATTCATGTTCTCTCTGCACAAAGCTGGAAGAATGTGACATCTTTTAAATTGCCTCCCTTGAGCTATGCAACATCCATGGTGCCTGGGAAATGTTAGAAAAACTTTAGAAAAGAGCAGAAATGTTTTACAAAGTAATGATGATAAAGGTGTAGCCACAGATTCTTCCACAGAATTCTACAAATTCCTCATATGTCTCACAATCGCTAAGACTGAATGAGTGATGGAAATATCCGCAGAGGGAAACCCTATCTTTTAGTCCTTTCCACCTTTTCGCCCTTTCCACCCTTCCAGCCTTCAGGTGGAAAACTTTTCATTGTGCCAGCTATCAAAGTAATCATATTAGCCTCCTAATTTTACTCTCCCAGTGAAGTGTTTTTCTGATATTCTGGAAAGTGTTTGTGTCCTGCTCACCACTAGAACAAATCTCCTGGTTATTTTAGCATAGCACAGACTGCAGGACTATGGTGTGCCCTAGTGTGCTCCTGTTGCATGGTGGTATCATGCTCTGGGAAGAAAAAATGTGCTGTGCTATCAGTGTCTTGGAGTCCCAGGGTGATGCAACACTGAAAGATCAGTGGTTTAAGTCTACCCAGAAGTGCCTCCGCAGAAACTTCTGAGAAATCAACCCTTGAAAACCCTATAGAGTGCAGTTCTACTCTGACACACATGGGGTCACTGTGACTCAGAGCTAGCTCAGTGGTAACTAGATTTTTTTTTTTTTTTTGGTTATATGAGACCATCAAGAAATCTGGGACTAACCTCTTCCCTACTTCTCTCTACAACACAGGTACATTGTCCTGGCTACTTCTGTGTGCTCCCTGCTAGTCCTCGGACTACCTACTTTTCAACACCTATTTCCATATTCACTTTCTTTTTCTTTTTTAATGTGATTTGGGTAAAAGTTTACGGAGCAAATTGACTTTCCATTCAACAATTCAAACTTTTTTTTTTTTTTTTGGTAACACTGATTGCGATCCCCACAATTGCAATTACAAGAGCATTCCTCCCACTTTCTCCCTGTTCACTGTTTCCACTATTCTCTTTCACCTGCTTACAATGCCACGCACTCCTCTCCCCCACCCCACCTCCCACCCCCCTCCTACTAGCTTCTAACACCTTTCATCTTACTGGAAAACCCAGACATTTAGCTTTGTACCTTTTAAGTTGAGAAAATTTTAGAGTAAAGAATGCTAGAATAGTAGAATCATGAATCCACAAACTAACTTTGGGTTCCAGCAATAGGAGCACCTTGACCATCCAGGGTTCCAAAGCTATGCCCTGGGTAACAGGAGTACAGAAAACATTCCCTTCCATGGGGCTTCTGCCAGAATGATTCAATCTCAGAGAATCACTATAACCTAATCATTATTATAGCATGCTCATGTATCAGTTGTCCCTTGGGAAGGCTGGGTCCATTAAAATACTATGAGTTAGTTCTCTTGCTGAGAAAAGTTTGTTAAAATCATGATATGCCAAAGATTTTTTTTTAATGTGTTGAGACAACAAGGGGATAAATATTTGAAACAACAGAGCTTTTCAGAGATTTCCCTAGCACACATTGAGAAATCATAATCTCCTTTTGTGAAGTAGAAAGAGGATTATAGCTAGCTAATGGACCATTTGTTCCATTACAATTTGTTTCAAAGTGCCCTGTGATACAAAACCAAATAGATGGTCCGTCCTCTTTCAAACCATGGCCATACCTGTCACACCATGGTCAGCAAGGTTATTGTTGTTGTGTGCCTTCAAGTTGGTTCCAATTCATAATGACACTATATAGGGTTTCCAAAGAGCTGCTGGTGAGTTTAAACCGCCAACCTTGCAATTCAAACTGACCTTGAGGTAGAGTATTTATCCTATGGCACCACACCAGGACCTCAGCAAGGTACACTTACCCGTCTCACAATAGTGCAATGGTTAAGTGATTGGCTACTAACCTAAAAGTCAGCAGTTCAAACCCATCAGGCGTTCTGTAGGAGAAAGATATGACAGCCTGCTTCCATAAAGTTGGACAACCTTGGAAACCCTGTGGGGCTGTTCTAGTCTGTTCTATAGGGTCCCACTGTAAGTTGGAATCAACTCAGGATACAGACATAGCCCTGGGTCTGCTGGAAAATAGGAAAAGCACCCTTTCCCTGAAAGTTGTTCCTAAAGAAAGGATTTAGAGCAAATAGGCCTTTATATGCAAAGGTATCTATTATTTATGATTTAATAAATCCAAACCTACCTACATACCTCACAATAGTAAAATACTTGAGAATGGACTACTGAGAATGGAATGACATAGTAGAATGGAAGATGATTCAACCATTAGAAATTGACACTGATTATATAGACTGTAGAAATGTAAAAGAATTCTTTTTATAGCATAATATTAAATTTTTTACCTATACTGTGATTGTTGATAAGTGCCGTCAAGTCAATTCCAACCCATAGCAACCCTGTACAGGGTTTCTGAGGAGTGACAAGTGAGCTTGAACCACCAACCTTGTGGTTCAAACCAACCTTGCAGTCCAGCGCATTAACCCACAGTGCCACACCAGGGCTCCAAATCAACAATTTCTACCCTAAAGAAGTTGATAAACCAATGTTGTCATTGCAAAAATGCCATCAAGTTGGTTCTGCCCATAGTGACCCTGTATAGGGTTTCAAAAGAGTGACTGGTGAGCTTGAACCACCGACCTTGTTGATCAAACCTACTTTGCAGCCCAGTGCATTAACCCGCAGCACCACACCAGGACACCTGTGATACAATTACATAAAATGAGTGTGTTTAGATAAGGACTGGAAAAATGGGAAGAAAATGGTGTGTCCAGCTGAATGGATTGTAGTTATTCATCATTATCATTGCTCCTTTTGTAGCTGTTATAAAGCTGATAATATAATAACTAAATAAAAAATTGCTAGAAAAGAAACACTCTCAAGTGAGAAAACTTTGTGTCAGACAGAAAAAAATCAGTAGTGCTTAGGGTCATTCTGCATTCTCCCAAGCAGCCTGTAATCTGGACCCTTGTGGAGGGAAAATCAATATCTGGGTTACAGCACGGCCCCCTAACTGGGAAGGCTGTGCTATGTTTTCATGAATAGAAACTCTGACTTTTCCATCTACTTTGGTAACAAATCTGAAGTGCATTTTAACCATTTATTGGTGTGGCTTATCTGTGATAAATATTGTGCACAAGAATCTTAATTAACAGAAAGTGATGTATTGCATCTCTCTTTCTCTCCTCTACCATACCCCTCACCCTACCTTTGCTGCAGTTCTGCTAAGCCAATATTCTCTAGAATGAGCACAAAACCAACCGAACAACAGCTAAACAAATTGAATAACAGCTTTTGTACATCAACATCAAGAAAGAGACGCTTGGGAGAGGTCAGAATCCAGAGACGGACATGGATGAGAGTGAACTATCCGCTTGTCAAAGCGCCTCCTAAGTCTAGATCGGCAGAGATGGGAGTGATTTTTCTGGAAAGAGATGCAATCGTGGATTATTGGAAACACCAGCTCATTGGAACCTGTCGTTGAATAAGATCAGATAACATTCATATAAATCATATTCAGGAAATATTTTAAGGAAGAGAAATTATAAATGTGCTTGAATTCACATGTAAAATATATAGGTACTGAAATTTGTAAACTGTCCTTTTTTAATTAAATGGAAACAAAAAGCTTTAATCTTTCACCATTTAAAAAAGGCAGTAAATTCTAAATTATTCCTATCTCAAGTGTCAAGAGGTTGATCAAGCACATCATTTATTGAGGAAGCATCTTAGATAAAGCCTCTGAATGTTTTCACAGGAGATACAACTTTTGATTCTCCATCTCTGCTGTTCATTTATTTTACTGTGTTACAACCTCTCAGTTGCTAAGAGATGTAAAGCTTCAAACTTTTCACTGAGTCTGTGTTCAGTTTAATCTGTTCGTACAAGTTACTATGAGAAAGTGTTTCTGACATATACTATTACTCCATCAAGTTGTATATTACAGGAAGTACATCTTTACAACATAGGTTCCCAAGCAATATAGATTTCCCTATCTTTCATGAAACAGCATCAAGGAATTTTGAAAAACATAGAAAGCTCATTTTCACCTTGGATGCTCACATGTAATATATAGGCTGCTATCAAATAAACACCTTTTTTCTAATACTCCCTAGTATATGCATAGGAATTTAATATACTTTATAAATAGATATCAAAAATATCTCTGCTTTTTTTCTACTTCTTTGCCATACATATCAACAAAAATCCATATCTTTTCTTTCCCTTGCTGATATGCACTTACTTTTGCTTAAAAAAAAAAAAAAATCATTCCATCAAATCTATTTCTAAATGATAGTAAGTGGTACTAACAAATAAATACTAATTTAATAGCCTTAGAAATAAATGAATATATACTTATACAGGTCAAAGAAACTTGGTAGGAAGTAAATTGCCTTTTTGTGTACTAATGTTGGCTTCAAAAACACTCAAAATGGTTTTTTTAGTTGTTTGACATTTGGAGATACTAACCAGTAGTTTTCAGCAATGTTGCTCCCAGACTTCCCCCATCATCACCTTCGCCACATATCCTTCCAAAATCCAACAACAGAAAAATAGTTAATATTGAAATAGCCAATAGCCTAAAAAGTAACACAAGCAAAAAGCGTATATGCAGAGATATTCTTTGGAAACCCATTCATGTTCTATACCTGAGCAGAAGACATGACCATTTTGAATGCCTTCATTCATAGACTCAAGACTAAGATCATGTCATGTTAGCATACATCTCACTGGATCATAAGACAGAGAAAACTATAAAAGTGAGACAGATCATGGTTGATTTCTCTTACCCTCTCTCTATTAGGACCATGCTTTAGCCAAAAGTGTCTGGTACTAGCCATCTTTTCAACATAAACTGGATTGTGTTTCAAATGACTAAAAGTATATTACACATGTGGCTCAAGTGAGAAAAATCCAATTCTCAAAAGTAGATTTTCTGAAGAACAGAATTAAGAAAATACTTATTACCTGTAACTAAAGTACTAGCCATTCTGGGAGTTATTTGTTGCTTTAAGTATTAGCTTTCCTATTGCATTTAAAACAACCTACTTACTAAATTTAATTACACACAACTTTTCCAAGAATTCACCTTTTATTTAAAGAGAAATACCTCTTTACTTTGTCTACAATAAAGACAGAAGGTATGGGCTTTCTCAGGAGTCCTGGTGTGGTGTTGCAGGATAATGCACCAGACCACAAGGCAGTTTGAACCACAAGATTGGTGGTTCAAACCCACCAGTCGCTCCTCGGAAACACTAAACTTGGGTTGCTATGAGTTGGAACTGACTCGATGGCACTTAACAACAACAACATTGGCTTTCTCTAATCCAAGGAATTTAAGATTCAATAGGGAGTCTTATATCACTAATAGCTGTGTTAACAAAAAAAGAAAAAGTACTTCCTATCCACATGCAAATGTCACAAAGAAAGTTTTTGCCATAAAACCTAAGTGTAAGTTAGCATACCACAGTGCTCTGAAGATGAATCATTGACAATGTACCGTTTGTACATAAATAATGCACATGTAAATCACTAAATGTTACGTATAAGAAGTATGTTTTTATCTTTTTTAACAAAAAACTGACTCCCTTTCTCATTCTGTTCTGTTGTATTGTGTCCAAAAGTTGTGTGTAATTTTTTTAAGGTCCAGGAAATGTAAAGAAATTTGTTGGAATATCTCAATTTCTGTAAAAAAAATAATAATAATAAAAATAAGATTTTGTTACTTAACAGAATCTGGTGGTGTGGCATGTGTTCAGTGCTTCCAATGTCTTTGTTTTTGTCCTACAATCAGTGACAGCTGGATGGTGTGACTGAAGCCACTGTCTTCAGAAAATTCTGCTGCTGGATTCTATAATATTTGCCAACTGCAAAAGCCATGATTAAGAGCTCCAAAACCTCCTATAACAAAATGTAGATAGATCCTAAGAGAAATCTTCATATGCTCAGGGGAGTGAAATTGATAGCTAAGTAAATAGCCAGACTGTTCAAGTAAACCTGACCTGGAATATCCAGTGAAGGCTCAATCTCCATTTTGCGGATTGAAAGCACTCTTTTGTAAAAGTTCAACAGACTTGGTAATGCAGGTCTATGTGGTCGCCAATCCCAGATGCTTTGCTTACTATATGACTCTGAGCAACTCTAAGCCTCCTATCTTCATCTGTAAAATGGATATATAGTCCTCGCCCTCATAGTGTTGTCATGAGGATAGAAATTATAAAGCTGTTGTGCTTGACAGGTAGAAGATAGTCAATGAATATTAATTCCTCACATTATATGACAGACATTGAAGGAAAAAAAACAAAATCAAACATAGCCTCCACATGGAGAGAGAGCGCAGCTGAGGACTATAGACTCATGAAAAGAGAAAGGCTGTGTGCTGGTGGCCAGGTGCTGGCGACCAGGAGGCAGACGTGCAGAGTGTGCCCTTTGGTTGTTTAAATGATTATATATTCCTGAGTATTTGAGGGAATAGAAGCAAATACTGTTGAATGATTATGCACAGAGGAGATTGTAATCACTGCAATGAAACAATGAGTGTAAAACTGATGTTCCCC